CACACATATAGTATACACACACACACACACACACACACACACACACACACACACACACACACACACACACACACACACACACATATATATATATATATACATATATATATATATATATATATATATATATATATATATATATATATATATATATATATATATACAAATATATATATATATATATAAATATATATATATATATATTTACCCGATCTATATGTGTGTATTGGACAGCCGCGTGGCTTTCTTGTCGACAACGGGGTCACATTACGCTTATACCAAAGCTTCTTCCATCAGGTGGATACTATCCTGTCCTTTCTCAACAGTTGGGCGTCGGAAAATCCGTCACGCCGAGTGATTTGGTTGTCAGGTACGGCAACGCACAACGGGCTGCGATTTAAAATGTTCCGTACAACCACACGAGTACAGAGAGCCAATGAAATGGTCCAGGAGTACATAAGAAAGTACAAGTATGATAGGTACGTTCATTCAGGTCTCCCGAGAGAGAGATGAGGGTATTTGTCAAATAATAAGCGTTAAACTTTAGGCTGTAGAATGAAATTAAGCTGTGTTGTGTGGATTAAGTGCTGTTGCAACCATACTTCAGTACTTATTGAAAAACACATACCATTGAGGAGCCGTATGATGAGATGAAGCAGATAGACTACTCACAGTTACATCACGGGTACACGTCACAGCATATGCGTCGTGTGCTATGATATATGAGAGACCAGGCATGACGCACACTTTACGAGAGGTTTAGAGTTTCAATTAATGTGAAATGCATAAGCCCTAATAATACGAAACTTATGTCCAGCGGAATTGCAACTTAAGCAACATACAGAAGCACGAGATAATGTGCAGTTATATGATATCTAATCGTGAATCTGACTGTACACTCATACAGGATTGAGTACATGGATATCTATCACATGACATTATCCAGACCGGACCGGTCGTACGATGGTATACACTACACCTTGCGAAGCTCCAAATTGAAGCAGAAATCCAGGTAACACTAGCAGGATATTTATTTTGTAGCATGCAAAGTTCATGACACGTGTTAAGTATATAAAAGTGTATGTATAGTTATATCGACATGAATACGTATGGATACACATGCACAAGAGAAATTGGTTCTGTTTTATATCAATAATTATGGGCTTAGAACAACGTCAGGACGCTTTCTTCGTGTTTAAATATAAGTGGAACTATTTATAGACGAGCATGCAGGCAGTGATAAAACTAATGTTCGCAGTACTTCGTTTGTACCCCTGTGTATGTATGTGAGCGTCCATGCGGAGTAGATCTGCTTGTAATCCAGATCACGACGTTTGACGCCGTATATCCATACTTGTTAAATAACCCTTTGATGAGATAGGAATTGTATAGTCACTATCACGCGCACATTCGGATTCCCGGTACGTCGCGCACTCTGCCGGCTCGAACATTTCTCGAGTTTATGAACTTATGCTGAAGTATGGCAGTAGTATGCCGAAATCTACTTATGATTTTCTATACGGGTGTAATACATCATTTTCAATACGGGCGGAATACACCGTAAAACATGGACCTACTACGCATCCCCTATACCTGTCTGTCCTTCGAAATCACAACTACAGACACACTGCAAGGGCCACGGAGCCAGGATTCTGCGATGGCGATTGGTTTGATCAGCAGATGTACCGCCAAATTGACTATCCCGACTCACTGGTGCGCATTCAGGCACGCATGGTATTGGACACCCTGATGCGAACTACGTGATCATATGCCAACGCACTTGTTCACTACGCTCTTATAGGCAGATAGCTACAATACAAGCGTGAGCTGTAGTGAATGTTCAGTCGAGTACAAGGATATTGTCATGATTTAGCGTGACGCAACCGCACAATGACTACGGCACTCTCGCATATCAAGCGCAGCTTATGGCACACACTATACAGGATATATACCAACAGTGGAGTAAGCTATAATACAAAATACTTCTCCTCTACTAGCGGATAGAGTGAACTTGTTATTCAACTGTGAACAGAGCGAAATGAGCGACGGTTGGGTGCATGTAAATAGTGTACCTTTACACAATATATAACATGTGGAGTATGCGCACTACTGATTGCACTAAGACAAAGGTGAGCAGGCAGGATAGATGAATATGGCACTTTATTACATGTGATTGTTTAATCAGAAAGCTCAAATGTAGACACGAAGGATATGTAGAATAACATCGGATCATCCTAGTCTACTCAAGTGGGAGTAACAAACTTGCGCTGGAGATTGACGAGCGGATTAAATGATTATGGATACTCTACTATGCAGATATCGCCCTGAGAAGTATCGTCAGTAACCGATACTTTGCGCATCAAGGCTGACAATGACAGTCATATGAATCTGGATTTGGGATTTGAATTTTCGCAAAATCTGTGCACAGACTAGCCAACTATTATCGCCAATATGCAAGGAATAAACGATATCAGTAAAAGTGTGTAGCTGTTCGAAAGGAGAAGTAAATAAAAATCTAAGTAAAACTGAATGTGCGTTTTGAGAGTTTGCAATGTAACGAAGTCAATTTGCTAGTCAATATACCAAGATGAGTACGTGAAAGGATATGATTAAATATCGGAAGTTGCTTTGAACAGTGAAAAAATATTGCAAGCTTTCAAAAATATGTATTACTCTTGCACCATTTATATAGCATATTGGTGGCTATTTATTTTATTCTTTGCATTTTTGTTAAGAGTGACAGACTCTTCATATTTTTGTAATAGGTTTGCATATGCATATCTTATCGTCCACTAGATTAGCAATTTACCCATTGATTTCCATTCGAGTTTTTGTATTTTCGCATAATTCCTTCGGCTTGTGCATCCTTGCAATCGCCGTTGGTATTATATTCAACCCCGAACACAGCCTTGTCCTGCTTCACAAATGCTTCATAGTTACTGCAGTACGAGTTTGCTGAGAACTTAGCACAAGACTCATTGATCGCGTAGTCCATATGGTCAATTAGGTCTGGGATCAAATCGACGGTATTCTTCAATGCAATCTCAAGACCCAAATCGTGAGCGGTATCTGCCATCCAACGTAAGTAGGCAATTTGATACGGCTTTAAACTCTCCTTGGTTTCGCCTTTCACGGCTGTACTGCCATATTCATATGCATCTGTATTATCGGTTTCTATTCCGTGACAACCCTTTTCGACTGCTTCCTCCATCCTAGCTTTAATTAAGTGCTTGAAACTAGACCACCGGGTGATGTCCATCCAGTGCTCTCCGGGGTATCGACTATTTTGTGAAGCATACTCCATCATGGCAAGATAGTCTGGTCTCCAATCCTCGGCAGTGCCTGCACTGAAATAGCACACCACGTACTGTCCTCCGTTGGCAAGAGATTTTACATAATCCTTTGATTTTGTTTGTAGATCGATGTCAATCATATAACCTTTGCTTTTATCGTCATATCCCCATGCTTCTAAAGTCCAGGAGGTACCTTGTGAAAGCCTTTTAGTACTTCGTCGCAGCGCAGTTGCATCAACTGAGTATGCAGCTAACGATGCTACTACTGCCAGTGTTTGGACGATTGAAGAGTACATATTGATTGTTGATACTAGTAAATGAAGCTAATTTAGATTTCCCCTTGATATTTATATTCCTCGCTCTGTTCTTTGTCTGATTTCATTTTCTCTCTCTTTGAAATAGTATATTTTATAAATGCAGTGCTTGGCCTTGACTGCTTGTCAAATGGCCCTGGGTGATGCAGTAAGTACTCACAATGAGTCAATAACACAGGAGAGGCAGCGAAGGGGGCGCCGAAAGGAGCGGGGACATCAGATAAAACTCTACTGCGGTATTCTTCAAAATTGACCTATGAAATCACTTCGCAAACCGATGATCAGCTTCAAAAGTTCAAAAGCCTCAGAATATGTGGCAGACTGGGCTCTGGAGTCAAATGCTCCATGGAATCCGAAGCTCCAATGCATGTGCTAACTGAACACTCTCACAGCCCAAAAATGAATAAGCTCGTGCATCGGTACTATTATACTGACCACTATAATGGACAATAAATGTCTTTTAAAAAAAGAAGATGCTAAAAGACAAAAGCAGTTCGCAAACAGGTTTTATGTGCTGTGATTTGTTGTTTGGATTGGACCTCCAGTGAAAGCAATTTGCTCTCAATAGCCCGTGGCATTAATTACTCTAACAGCTCTATCACAACTGAGAGTAAGAAAATGGAGCCGATGAAGATTGTTTCACGACTCAAGAGTAAATTTGACGGTTGTGTGAGTTAAATTTTAACATATTTTACAAGGACAGGTATGAACGGAATGTAAGTAGTAAATACTTCTTGGTTACATATTCAAAAAATAAACGTAAAAATATCTCAGTCACTCAGTGTCGTATACTATTCACTGAACGAGATTTTGTGACATTTCGTTTTGTTCGAAAGTTGTTTAGCATTAGTATGTGGTTTATTCAGCAGAGAAGATACCGGGCGTAGATGACGGATGGCGTCACAAATTGCCTCGAATTGGGTTGTTTCGATATATTTTTATGATCGTGGCGTATTTTATTTTCAGGCCCAATAATTAAGAGCTATATTTTGATTGGTTTTATTAAAAATATATTATGTCAAAAAATAACATATTGTATATTTGTGAAAAAAAAACCCTAAACCCTAAACCCTTGCGGCTTGTCAAAAAAAAAACATAAACATGAAAATCCGAACACGGGGAACTCGAGCCATTCTATTTTTATTAACAAAACTAAAAATAAATAGAATATGTACTACAGGCCGCAGCGGCGTCAAGCCAATATGTCCATCCTAACTCCAAAGATAAGTATTACAATATTGAAGTGTATTTATACAAGGTCCAAATCTGAAAAGTAAATAGCAGCCTTCTAAAAATCTGTATTTTAGACGAATCTAAGTATGTAGAAAGTAATAAGTAGTTCTACACAGTACACACACTACACGCCGAACAGTGAACAAACATGCGTGCCTATGGCAACCGACAATATATTTATCACGTCGCATCACATTTTCTGTGTTCAAGCCCAAGGCTTGAAGAAGCGCTGAATCGGAGACTGTCACGAGGTTTGTCTTATACGAGATATCTATAGTTATCGCGTTGCATCTGTTGAAAGTCATGTCCTATGCAACGAGACATTTGTGTTCAGTGTGTGCAATGTGTTCAACGATGGAATTTCTGACATCGATGACACTCTTAGCACTTCGATCCAAGCTACCTTCGTTAAGAACTCTGCTACCCACCCTCTTTCCGCCCCCTCTCGTGTCCGAGAGCGTATTTTGGCATCTCTTCACCCTAAAATAATAAAATCTCGGCGTTCATTTTGCCATCTGGTAGTCTCGTACTTGCGATTTTACGGTTTCTCTGGTTTAGCACTACACTTGGTGTTTTCATACATGTACTCTTGCATATACATTCTCAAGGTAGTCATAGCTAAAAGCAATCAATAACTACATGGTCTATTCGGTTAAAAATCGATGATGTTCTTTTTTGTCTGAGTCTAAAGTAGAGCGAAGTCAACTTCACTCGTACTATATAATGATATTTTTCTAGTTTTATTCTAAATTACGAACACAGCCGATAAATGCACCATCCTGTCCTAACTCCTGACTCTTGAATCCTGATGTTCGATTTCCGGTTAGGCGGCTACACAAGCAACATTGTTCATTTTTTATTGTGTTTTGCTTGTTCAATATTCATCATGTAAATAAATATCAGTGTCCTGATTCGGATTCCTGAAGACCTGAACTCCTAACTCCTGAATCCTGAATCCTGAGTCCTGAGTCCTGCGTCCTGAGTCGTCCTGACTCCTGACTTTTGACTCCTGAAGTCCTGATTGAGTCTCCTGATTCCTGTCAGTGTTGACTCACAAGTCACTTGTAACTGTCGTACCTCTGCCAGATACCATAGCTTTCATTGGTGTCCTAAAAGCAGCGATCTGACAATCTCGACCTATGAAAACAACAGATAAACCCCTTTTTCCAAACCAAAAAACGATGATCAATTTTCGCGTTCATCTGATTCTCAGCGGATTTATTTCAGTATTACTATGTATTTACCAAAAAAAATAAGAGCGAGGGAAAAAGAAACATATTCACATACTGTAAATACATAGCTATAGAGATTGGACTCCGATTGGAGCCTTCTATGTAAATGTTTTTTTTCATCTCTATTTTTAGTATGTAGTAGCACAGTAAAGTACGCCCGGATTTGCCAATTTCAGGAAATATTGGGGAACAAGATATGAAATGAGTAAAGTACCCTCCTCCGGTAACTAATTTCGACATTTCTTCGCACGATCCATAATTTTGACAGTTATTCTGAATATTCAGGAAATTATGGAACATGACTTTCATATTTTTTGAGCCTCGTAATTTTCTGATTTCACGACTTCGAGTGTTTTGTCATTCCCAAAGATGCCAGATTCAATTTAAAAAATATACAACAATATTTTGTTACACTTTTTCGGCTCCATAACATAAATTACAGAATATCTCGTGCATTCGTGCATTTGCCAACTGAAAGTATCAAAATACTTTGCGAATATTCAATAATGTCTCAAATACAATCACGCATGAATTTCTAAATTCTCATGAAATATAGCGCTCCATTATTTCATAGGAAATATACCAAAAATATACCTGAATATTTATTAGGGCTGTATTTTCTCATTATTTCTTTAACTTGGCAAATTCGGCCTAAATAAAAAAAAGAATAGAATATGTACAATATATGTCAGTATATTTGTTTTTATTTCAGTTTGTTGTATAAAAAACAAAAAGGAATACAGAAGGCTATGGTAGTATTTATGGCCTATGAGTCTATGACTCTATGAGAGAAATCACTGAAAATCAGAAATGGAAACACGATAAAAAAACATTCAAAAGGTATTGGAAATAGTATATATTGAGCTAAAAAAAAAGTATACATCACAGTGATCACACACTATAAATAGACCTACGTATTTATTTCCAAAGAATATGTACTAGTCTGACCTAAACTAATAATAAACTTGGGCATTAAAAATATATGAAGGATTGATTCAACCCGCGAGTTAAACATGTGGAATTTGCCAATCGCAGATAGGGGTACTGTACTGATTTGCTTTATCTTGTTTTGTTTAAAAAAAAACAATATTCTAAATAGGCGCGTGTGTGAAAAACACTTTAATTTTTTGAAATGATTGTTTATTTTAAAAAACAGTATTCGGCAAGGACTCCAGTCTCAAGGCCTCAAGCCCCCAACCAGAACGCCTTGTTGTGAGTGGCCTAGGCCTAGGTACTTTTATGGATATGGAATATGGAGAAAAATAGCCGTACATATAAAAATATTTTTACAATACGTAATACGGGATGATTGTTGGAAATCCTAATTTTAAAATATGTAATATGGCAACAGCTGAAATAAAATATGAAATATGCGACCTAAAGTTAGAGGACACAGACTGATAGAAGTCGAGTACTATGTGGGATACCGTATGGTAGCCTGGAGGCAATTTGAAATGTTCAGTGCACAATAATGGAGCTCTGAGGACCACCAAAACGAGAATATGGAATATGTAGTGAAAAATTGAAAATATGAAGTATATAATATGAGCTACAGCACGATAAAACGTATATGGCGCATCTGAAATATAAATATGAAAAATGTGAGAGGGTATTTACATAAACTTTTTATATATTTATCCGTATTTATTCATATATGTTCCCACTTCCCAGTTCCTTTCCCTGGCCTGATCGTGACGCTTTTGTTGTGAATGTGGAGTGTGGAGTGTGGAGTGTGGACTGTGAACTGTGGACTGTGGACTGTGGACTGTAGATTGTGGAGGCGAGCCAGACCTAAACTCATTACATTCGTTATTTACGGGGATACGTATTTTCTTTTTTTTATATTCAGACATATTTAAAAAAAAACAATGGTTTTAGTCACAGCCTTCCGATGATCTTTTTTTAGAAGACTATGTTGTAGTCTTGAATTTATTAGGCATAGAGTGGTTTTACACATGAGGTTTTAGGTTTAGGCATTTATGGTTTTTAGTCAATTAGTTTTAGGCATTGTATGAGGCGTTTAGTCATAATTAGATAGGAAATTTGGAATATATGAATCTGATATTATTGTTAGTCCATACTCCATAGCCTTCTAAATTGAACCATGACCCTCTCTCTCTAGAGAGTCTAGAGAAAGAGAAGAAGACTAAAAAATATAGGGGATCGAACTAATAACGTCCGAAGGACACTGATCAGTTAGTCATTTTTTAAATAGGTCTTTTGTTTAAAAAAAAGAGAGTGCTCGGATTTGACTCATTTGAGAGTGTTTACACTTTACAAGTCTTGAGAGTTGAGAATTGAGATTTATTTGAGAATTGATAGTTTGATACTCCAAACTCCAAAGTCTCAGACTGACAGAAGAGTCTCATTTTTAGAGTCAGAGTCTGTCGTATGTACCGTGTCCGTGTGTGACTGTGTGGTTGTGTACTGGTCTGGTTTACACATGCTGTACAGGTTTTAAACATTAGATAGTTTACTACATGTTGTAAACCCTATGCTGTAAACATGATTTCGGTGTTGCAAGGTTCGTTTTTTTCACCAATCAACACTGGTTAAAGTTGAAAGTTATCATAATATCAATCACATGTATTCAATTTTAATATAGCCTATTAGAAAGCAGTATCGACTAAAAGGTCAATTTCAAGTGTAGTTGTCTAAGTTGCAAACTCTTGTTAGTTGTCGCTTGTCAGTTGAACTTGTAAATAAATATAATAAATAACTAATAAGTTGTCCGTTGTCGCCTGTCAGCCTTGTTGTGATGTTGTCAATTGTCGGCTTGTCGTCTGTCGAATGTCTCCGTTGGTTGTCACGAACTCACATCGTCAAATCGTGTACCGGAGCCCGCCCGCCCTTTTTCTTGGCGGTCGCGGTCCATATTATTAAAAATAAGTCTCAATAAGGCCCAACCGTCGGTAGTGTCACTGGCCAGTGGTTACACACACGAGTGGCAAATGGACAGCCACAGTTCCACACCCGGAATTCTCTCAGTACTACAAACTGTACCATACGTTGTAAACCTGTAGAGTATGCATGTTTAAAACACGGTGTAAACCCTTTACAACATCAAAAGTTCACTACATGTTGTTAAGGTTTAAACATCTGAAAGTTTACTACATGTTGTAAACCTATACCAGCTCAGGTTGTGTACGTGCCTACATACGCCAGTATGTATGTACTTCTTGGCGGCGTGGCTGGAGCGGAAATCCGAAATTTACTAGAGTAGAGCTCAGCTGAGCCTACTGAGTACTGACTCTCTACTCTCTAGAGTCTCTGGGAGGGAGAGGGCCCGAGAGGGGCCAGACGCCCAGACTGCCAGAGGGCTAGAGTGCTCGGCTACATACAGCTATGCTCCAGGCCTCTAGTGCTCTATGCATTTTAAAAATGACATATTTGTGTTTTTTAAAAATTTCACGGGCTCACGCCTCACAGCAGCGGGCAGCGGGCCAGCAGTGTTGCGCCACAGGGCATAGGCCACAGGGATTAGGGCCATAGGCCCATAGCCCAGGCCCCTTGGCCTTGGGCCATAGGGCGGGTAAACCCTAAAAACACAACACGGTAAACTAATATCCAGCTGTGCAACTGCTCACAGCCTCACAGCCTCACGGCCTCACACGGTCACACCCCGGTGTGACCCCGCCCTATTTTAAAATGTTTTTATTTGGCGGGCAGGAGGTTAGTGTCTGGCTGTCTGCATTCTGCAACTACAAGACTATAAGTTTGTGACTTTATATATTTTTAATCATGATGATGTCTGGACTCTGAACTTCTGAAGTCTGGTAGACTCTAGAGCACTTAGACTGAGTCTCGAGTTTGGAGTCTCTGAGAGTCTGAGTGTGCACCTGTGCGTCGTGCGGGGCTGCGGGGCTGCGGGCTTGTACGGCCTCTATCGAAATTTAACGATAGACAATACATTAGACAATACAGTAGACAGACATAAGGAGATAATATGATGGTCCCTCCAAACATACCTTATTCTGAGATGAAGGTAGCAATTTGATTTGGATATTCAGTATCCTGCAGCCTCTCGTGGGCATATATCTTGTAGATATGCATTCTCCGCTACTCTAATTTGGAAGTATGAGAGGAAATTTACAACTTTACACTCCCCCCTCGACAGTTTATACGTAATGCCTCTCTGGGTCGATTCTGATAAGATGTGTTTTTGAACCGTTCTAGGCTCAATTGGGGTCTAATGTATAGACTTACAATTACACCGATCCTCTAGAGACTTGCTTGCGTCAAAGTATTCAGCCCAATCCGTAATATCCCACTCCTGTATGTGACGCTCAAATATGGCGGAAAGAAAAGACTCAAAAATCCGATAGTAGTGTGTAGTATTCGACCGGAAACATACAAATTAATATCACTTTACCTTCTGCCGCATATACTAACAGTCACACAACTAGAATCCAGATTAAAATGACAAAGGCTGAGTCGCTCAGATTTTAAGCAATGCGCAGCATATTTTTTAAAGCATGAGCTTGCCTATCAAAAAGTGTGAAACAAAGTAAGAAAGTACATATCATACAGCTCAATCAGACACAGATAGATGCATTCTCATCAACGACACAAGAGTAGGACAGCGTTTTTGTCAGATCGAAAATTCACGCTCAAATCCATTTTCTTGTTCGAAAACAAATATCTATTCAATCCCCCCAGCAGCGACTATGAATGTAACCAAATATTTATAAACGATAAAAAGGCACCCCGCCCTCCAGGGCCCCAGTGACCCAGCCCCCCACCCACCAGTTCGCCACCCACCTGCCACCCGGGCTACTGGCCACATCTGGCACATCACAAAATTCACAACTTTCGATTTCATCCGAAGTGTACCTACGTTTTTCCATCGTCGACTTTGAGAATAACCCCTACAAGGCTGTGCATCTCAGTCCGGGTTTAGATATCGCTACGTTTAGAAAATGGCGGGGTCTCAGCCCGTTGCAACCAATCGCAGCCTCTTGCAGGTACCGCCAAAATAAAAAAACATATGTGATGAGTCATTACGAAACCCCATTACGTTATGGTAGTTCAGCTTTCGCGTTAAGCATAAATATGTAAAGTTATGATAATTAAATGTTATAGAATATTTGTTTGGTAGCATGGGTCTAACCTAATATGAAACCAAATCAGACTATATGGGAAAATAGTTATTATGTATTGCACCTCAGACCCCAAAGAATGCACTCTCATGGTACCACAAGGACCTAATCACAGTAGTCTTTGGACGTAAAAATAATATAGAATAGAAAATGTTGATCTTTATACGTTAAAACGTAAAACGCAGATCAACTAATTTGAGACGAACAGCTAGCATTAGCAATATAAATCAGATCCCTTCAGTGCCAACGCCTTAATGAGGTACATGCGATGTGGGTAGTATAAACAATTATATCGTGCTTGAGGTCTCACACCCATTCTACCTGAACCATCAACTCCAGCCGAAAATCCAGCTCTGTCTAGCCTACATACTACAAGAAAGTTGAAAGCACAGTAGAACATAGTAGGTTGTAGCTAGGTTACCAGAGATGGCTTCACCGGCTCGTGCGAAGGGCTTGGCCATGATCTGTGTGATGTGCGCCAAACCTCCTGAACTGAGTTGTCCGTGTTTGGAACGATACTACTGCTCGAGAGACTGTCAGGTGTGTGTGACAGAGGTCGATTTAATGCGAACTCTGTGTTCTTCTCAGCTGTATTTTTTTTTTTGCACACCAGTCGAGGTGACTGTTTTTGGTAAAAGGTCAATGCACTGGGCCTACTGGAGGCAATCAATATGTCCTACCTTGCTATTATCGTAGAATTAGTCATTCACTGTTGTTTGTATTAAGCACCTTATCAGATGTAAGTGGGGTGCGTCTGTGTTTATTGGTGCGATGACCCTTCTGGGGTATTCGATCCCATCGTGCTTGGTTGTAATCGTTGATTTAGATTTTTCTTTCTTTCTTTCTATTTTTAGTAGCCACTTGGTTGTTTGTGAGATAAAGATTGAACGGTCATATTATTTGGTGATGCAGCGGGACTTTCGGAGGTGTTCAATTACATCTTACTTAGCCATAGTCGTAGAAGTACTTATTGTCTGTTATTTGTAGTATAATCTGGTCAGCTGGTCAGGTATTGTGTGTGGTAGGGGTTGAATGTTCTTG